ATTTCTAATTCTTATGTTTTTAGGGCAGAGGGACCAATAAGAAAAAAAAATCAAAACGTGCCCAAACTCATCACCTTTTTATGCACATGAGGGATTTTGGGTATTCTGTTGGGGAAGATGTGGAAATTTACTTTTCACTTTATGATGCTCAGCAGGCTGAGTTCATCAGGTAATACTTCAGAAATTTTGTTTCTTTGATTAGAGCTTATTTGAAGTCTTATTCAGATTTACCTACTTTAAGTTTTTACAATTTTTTAATAATGTTTAGTTAATGTTAATTTTTTTATGAAACTGTTCATGTTTTGTGTGCATATTTTATTTAAAAATCAAAATTTCATGTTATTTCTGGTTCTGTAGTTGCAATAATTGGAAACCTCAAAAAAATAAAATAATATGCTGTAATGAGTGTTTTGTATTTTGTTTTTATAAATCCACATTGTATGTTTCAGATGAGCTAAACCTATTTAACTAAATATCTCTCTTTTAACATTAGATATATTTTGTTTGATTGTACAGCAGTTTGTTACATTACATTTAATGCATTCAACTTGTATGCATTTACAGTGAAAGGTATTTAGTCAAGTTAGCCAAATATGGACATTCCAATTTTATGGAGAAAATGCATAACCACTGTACAATATTTACGGTATGTTTTTAGGTTTCTCTTATTTTATTTACATTTTTTATTTAAGCAAACTGAAATTTATTATAAAAAAATACATGAAAATTATGAATTAATCGGTAGCATCATTTCATTGCAAGAAGACTTAATGTTCATCTACCAGTAAGTTGTCATTGATTGGTATAAAAATTAGTTTTTATTATTTACATATGGAGTAATTAGTAATTTTCATGTATGGATCAAAATTTTTCCTCAGTTTAGTTATTAGCTGTCTAATTAGCATTTCATTTAAAAACTCTTTTGGATAAATATAAAAAATATATAGTTAACTTTTGTTGTTTAAGATAAATGCTCCAATTAATAACAAACTATATTAAGTAACTGTTTATGTGAACTTAAAATAATGTTATGTGAACAGTGAAACTTCTCTAAATCAACCACTTTTGGGACTGTCAAAAACAGTTGGTTTAGAGAGGTGGCCAGTTTGTTTCTGAACTAGTTACCTTCCTTTCCTTGAAATACATTTTGTGTGTTTTGTTTCTTTTGCATTTTAAGTTTTTGTATATTTGTATAATAATATTGTTTGCTGTTGATGATAAACTATAAAAAAGTGTAGTTTTTGCAATTTTAATTATAGTTTATGAAAATAAGACAAAATTAATATCAATAACAGATTTACTCTCTCAACACGGGCTTGGTCAATTTGACTGACCACGTGACCTTTTTGTACTCGTTTAAAGTCTTTGTAAATTTAATACTTGTAACTTAAATTTTGTAGTCTTTTAGTTAATATTATAAGTCTTTCACATACAAAAATCATATTTTTTAATGAACTTTTTTTAATA